TATATATATATATATATGTGTGTGTGTGTGTGTGTGTGTGTGTGTGTGTGTGTGTGTGTGTGTGTGTAATTATAAATCAGAGAGAGATTAAAAATGAAGTCATTATGAAGAACATCTTGATCACAAAATGCCTGCTTGAAAAAGACTGGGTTCTACTCATAGAAAGCAGCCTGATAGCCTAGTGTAGACTAGTCTCATGCTATGCAGGGCTGGCCCTGGTTAGTACTTGGATAGGAAACCACCAAGGAAGGCCAGGGGTGGCTACGCAATGGAAGGCAATGGCAACCACTTTGGCCAATCTCTTGCCATGGTGCTGGGATTGTCATGTGACTTGATGGCACACAATTATGATTATTATTTTAGTATGACTCAGGGCTATTTTTGGGCAGAAATGCACAGGAACGGAGTTCCAGCTGGCTTCAGAGTTGGCCACACCCACTACAGCCGAAACCTCCGCGTGCATGGCTACAGAGGGAAGGACTGGAGCGTGACCCCACCCCCAGTGACTCTGAGGTGAGAGGGCCAGGGGGGCCCTGGAAGGATCGGGAAGGCATTCCCCGACCTGTCCAAGGGCCAGCTTGCCTGGGCTCCCTGCAGATGCGGGGCGCTCGGGCAAGCCAAGGGAAGGCAGTTTAAACTGCTTTCCCTTCCCTTCCCTTCCCTCCATGGGCTGGCTTGCCTGGACTCCCCGCAGCTGTGGTGTGCCTGGGCAAGCCAAGGGAAGGCAGTTTAAACTGCCTTCCCTTCCCTTCAAGAGGGGCGCCCAGGCAAGCCAAGGGAAGGCATGGGGGTGTGGCCTAATATGCTAATGAGTTTCTGCTGCTGGGTGTGGCCTATTATGCTAATGAGTTCATGCTGGGCTTTTTCTACAAAAAAGCCCTGGTATGACTCACAGGAAATACTTGCATTTGGGAACTATTCCAGTTTATGACTTTCCTATGAGTCCAGGTCTAAGCATGGATTCTCTCTCACTTTTCCCATTAAGTCCAAGCCTATCCAAATAACTGGTTAGGATGGCACAACGAGGAGGCCGCTGCTCATTCCCAGACATCAGTGGCACACAAGGGGACTGGAGTCACTTCCTGAGCCCACACTGACATCATCCAGAGGATTGGATTGGCCCTGCTGGTAGTGGTGCAGGCCCAGGAAGCAATGGGTGCACCTTGTTTTGTACAACAAAAGATTTTGAAGCAGCCCTGTTTCCCATACAGTAATGCCAGTTTACAAAATAACAGCACATGCTTTTCTAAAGACCATAAACGACCTACAAATTTACTGCAATCAAATCATCCTAAACCTATAAAATAAAGAACCGTTTGTATATGTACTTCAGTTTGATTTAAAAGCTTGTGTCCCAGGTCCTTATGCTATTTACCAGATCACTTTGGTTCTCAGGGAATTGTCAGGGGGAAAATGGATTTGCATGGACAAAATAATTCACAAATGGAAGATTAGACTAAATGAAAAATGGCATGTGAGACAGTCCCACAACTTCATAGGGTCATGATCTCATATGTACCTTTACCTCTTTTGTAACATAATCACTTGTTTTCACAGAGCAAACTGAACACACAAAACACTGAAGAGTAAATACTGAATTCCTAACAGGCTAGAGATTATAGGGCTATATATATACACCACAGGACTGATAGAGTCATGTCCTCTACCCATGTAAAGCAGCACCAGGGCATTATCTCACTTCTGGGTTGGCTCTTATCAGAAGGAATTTATCCAAGCACAGCGGCCAGGGTGTTGGTGTGCCATCAGTCAAAGTATTAATATAGTGCTTGTCATGCATCACTCTGTCCAAGAGGGGGGCAAAACAACAACAAGAGTTTTCTAACACAATACAACAATAAGGATTCTAGAAGGCTGCAAAGCTGTGCCTTATAGCCATGAACCCACATAACAACAATTGGTGCCTGGAACTGGGAAGGTCCCTGGGGAGGGGCTGCCTGGGGCTTAATGGCAGAGCATGTGCTTATGTAGGAGGACTGACGTTCAATCTTAGGTATCCCCAGTGGAAAAAAAAATCAGGTTATAGGTGAGATGAAAGACCTCAACCTGGGTCTCTAGGGAGCTGCTGCCAGCCAGAAATCTATCGATACTATTCTTGATAGACCAAGGGTCTGACTCAGTCTAAGGCAGCTTCATATGTTCACACATTTAAAAACAAGAGCACAGTTAGTTCTGTTCTTCAGTTGTATCAAAACTTGTGGCTGCTTTCTTGGTTTCAATTTAATTTTAGTCACAAACATTTAGGACATGAGGCTCTCACTCTGTAGGGATGGATACCCTTGCTTATGTACATGCAGCCAGTGAAATGGAACAACTTGGGGAATGGGTGGTCATTGCATCTCATCCCCCATCCAGCCTCCCTCTGTCATATGTGTTTTGCGTCAGTTCATTATGGTGTAGGGAGATCTGTGATGAATAGCTACCCATTCATAAATATTTCCCATGTCTTCATGCGATGATGCATCATTGCCAAGGTTTATGTGCATTCTCCATTCAGCAATTCACATTAAGGCTGATGTATACATCTGTATCTATCTGTTGATGGATGGCCGGCCGGACTGTGCCCCAGATAATTTGGACAGGGCATTAGGGGCCATGGCTGGATGGCTACAGCAGAGCCAGTTGGGATTAAATCCAACAAAGAAAGAGTTCCTGTACCTGAGTCGTGGGGGCTTGGGATCAGGAATCTGTCTCCCGATGCTTGGAGGGGCGCCTCTGGCACCAGCACTGAGGGCGAGGAGCCTTGGGGTGATCCTGGATGCCTCACTTTCAGTGGAGGCCCAGGTTGCCACTGTTGCCAGGTCTGCCTTTTATCATCTGTGGCAGGTCAGGCAACTTTCCCCCTATCTTTCCTCCCAGGATTTAGCTACAGTGATCCATGTAATGGTCACTTCCAGGTTGGATTACTATAACCCGCTCTGCGCAGGGCTGCCCTTGAACCTGCCCGGGAAACTCCAGTTAGCACAGAATGAGGCAGCATGCTTGCTGACAGTTACATCTGTGCGGGCGCACATTCAGATGGTGCTATGCCAACTGCACTGGTTACCAGTTGAGTACTGGATCCACTGCAGGGTTATGGTGCTGACCTTTAAAGCCCTACATGGCCTAGGACCAGCATACCTTCGGGACCATCTCTCCCCATATTAGGGTTGCCAGGTCTTACTGTCATGCCGGTGGTGGTGGGGGGAGGTCCCGGTGCAATGACGTCACGTGAAAGTGATGTCATTGCACATGGCGTGTTGCAGGGGTGCTCTACTATTTAAGGGGAAAAAATCCCCTCTGCAACGTGATGTCATTGCGCTGGGCATATTGCCATACGCCGAGTGCTTTGGGGGTGGGGTTACCCCGCTGGCCGAATCCGGGCTGGCAGATCTGGGGGCCCAGAGTGGGCAAAACCCTGCCCCTCCGGGGGATCTGGCAGCCCTACCCCATATATGCCCTGGAAAGCCTTGCACTCTGCAGACCAACATCTACTGGTAGTCCCTTTTCTGCCCTGGCCTCGGGCTGGTGGAATGTGCTCCCAATTGAGATCAGGGCTCTGTTCCACCAGGCCTTTGGTTGAGGTGGCAGATGTTTCCACCATCTCAACCTCCTCTGTCCATAGTAGGCCTACAGATGCGTACTATCCTACTAATGTCTAACAGGAAGCATATTGGACTGCTCTGGAGTAATGTATATTTCTTAGCTACCATCCTGTTTTATTTAACTGGTTTTTAATTATTATATATTTGTTGTATTTTATTCATGCTGTGAGCTGCCCTGAGCCCACTATGGCATAGGATGGGATATAAGTGCAATAAATAAATATTCTAAGGCTCTGCTACATACATATCGTTCCACCATCAGCATGCAGGCAAACCTGTTCTGTTAATGGCAGTGCTTTCCTCTAGTGCAAGGAAGAGTCTCATCCATCAGGGGAAGGCACATTTTGCCAGAGGAAGGCATTAATGTAACTAATTCAGCCTAGGGCTTAGTACAGCCATCCTCTCTCTATATTCCCTGGCAAATCCTCAGCCATATGTGGATTTCAGTTCTTTGAATGATGGTGGACTGGGAAGTCATGGTTTCAAGTCACCATTCAGCTGTGAAACGAATTGGGTGATCTTGGGACAGTCCTTATCTTTCAGCCTAATCTACCAACACAGGGTTGTGGTGAGGATAAAAGGAAGGTGTAATGTGCCCTGAGGACTTTGAAGAAAGGGGAGGATTAAATTTTTTTTTTCTACAGATGAACAGAATGTACCTTTTTATGTACCCATGCGCATTCTTACACCCCAGAAAGGGGCCTGTGGGCTTGGAAAAGGCAAGATAGAAGTGTTTTCAAAGAAATAAATGTCCAATAAGTGCCAGCATTCCAAAGAACAATGGCTTGCTGCTAGCTGCAAAAATAATTGAATTTTCCAGTGCAAAATACTGTAGTCTTTGGGGATGTGATATTTCTAAAATAAAAGAGATTTCTTATGGGAACATGTTTGGATTTCATATCATGAATGAGCAACAGTAGCACATTTTAGCTTAAGAA